TTGGATAAACTTTTGTGCTTTCTTCAAAATGAAGTGCCAAGTGAGGAATTGATTAAGCTCGCTCATACCGGGTTGGGAGCTTCACGTTCTGCACATTCGTGTCTACATTGTGATGATCTGGGCTGTACAGCTGCTGCCTTGGTAAATGTTCAAGACAATACAGGTAGGCGAAATTTACGTTGTATTTTTTGTGAGAATCCCACAATTCTGCCGAATGTTTTTCTGCTCGCAAAATGTCTTTAGAAGATAAACGAAAGCTTTTGGTGCAAAATCGTGCCTGTTTTCGCTGTCTACGAGTTGGACATAGTTCACGGGCATGCAAAACTAAAGTAAAATGTTTAACTTGTGATAAATTTCACTATACCATTATGTGCTCAAATGGCGAACCTGTAAAGCCAAATGAAACTGACAGTACTGTTATTTCAAGTAATGCATTGTCTAATCAGTCAACTTTTAATGAAAATGTGTATTTGCAAACACTTGTTTTAAAAATAGTATTTGAGGGTAGACAACTTACAGTTCGTACGATCTTGGACAGTGGTTCTCAGAAATCTTATCTTTCAGAAAGGGTTATCGCGTTTTTGCAACTGCATCCTAAATCGAGGGGGGAGAGAGACAAGTCCTCGTTCCCATTTAGTGTTTGATGTTAATTTAAGAAATTTTGAGGGCACTTATGACCATAACTTTGAAGTACTTTCTCAAAACAAAATATGTGAATGTGTTCCAAAAGTAGTTGATCACAATACCCTGAAAGAATTAAAAGAAAGAAATATTACCGTGTCTTATTTGCAAGCTAAAAATATGACATTGAGTTGCTTTTAGGAGCAGATGCCATTGGGGACATTATTACTGGCAGTTCTCTGAAACTGAACTCGGGTGTAACTGTAGTTGGGACTAAATTCGGATACACCATGATTGGTAAAGTAAACAGCTTATCTAAAGAACCTACTTCAGCTACTATTCCAGCATTACTAAAAAATAATTTGTGCAATATTGTAGTTTTGTTGCACTGTGCCAATCTTAGTGTAACCGAACTCTGGAATTTAGATGCCATTGGCATAACAGACCCAACTGAAGATGTTAAATGTAAACTTGCTCACTCTGACACCATTAAGCAATTTAAGAGAATTTAAATGTTCTTCCTGATGGCCGATATGAATTGCCACTACCCTTTAAATCTGAAATTTTGTTACCTAACAATAAGTCTATGACTTTTAAAAGGCATCAAAGAATGTGTCAACGAATTAATGATGAAAATAATTAGTTTTTAAGGAATGGGAAGACCTCAAAGTAATAGAAAAGGTTCCTGAAACTGAAATTGATAATTTGAGTTATTATTTGCCCCATAGACCTGTTATAAAGCATACTAGCCAGACAATGAAGGTAAGGCCAGTGTTCGACGCTTCAGCCTGAGAGAGAAATCAAGCATCCCTAAATGACTGTTTAAATAGAGGGCCAAACTTTATTGAATTCATACCTGATATAATTGGCAGGTTTAGATTGTATTCCATTGGTTTATCATCGGATATAGAGAAAGCATTTCTTCAGCTGAGTATTATCCCAGAACATAGAGATTAAAGTTTTTTCTTCCAACTCTTGAAGAACCTATGATTTACAGACACTGCAGAGTGGTGTTCGGCATTTGTTCATCTCCGTTCAAACTCTCTGCTTCGATAGAGCATCTCTTGGATAATTCCCCTGCCGAGTTTGACGATGTGACCCAAAAATTAAAGCATTTGTTTTATGCTGACAATTGGGTCACTGGGTTCACGATATCAAACAGCAAGAAAATTTTATAGTTAAGGCGACAGAAGTAATGGCTCGGGGATGTTTTAACCTACGGGGTTGGGAAAGTAATGTTCCAGGTCATTGTATTTCCCGTAGTTCAGGTATAACTTCTCTTGGAATCTTATGGGATTTGGATAACGATTCATTAAAATGTAATCTTAATTATTCAGTGGATAATGAGGTAATTAAACATAATATTTTGGCTATGGTACATAAAATTTTTGATCCGCAGGGTTTTTTGAGTCCAACTACCTTGTTACCTAAGTTGCTATTACAGGAAGCTTGGACTATGAAATTAAAACGGGATGATCCCTTGCCAGATAATATTCAGAAAACTTTTCAGAAGTGGCAGGATGAAAATTAATTTCTTGAGAAAATTAATGTTCCACGATATGTAGAGATAAATGAGAATTCAGAGCTGCATCTATTCGTTGATGCATGTAAGAGCTCCTATGGTGCATGTGTTTACATTAGAACTGTAAAGCCTGTGGGAGTCAAAATTCGATTGATCAGAGCGAAATCCAGGGTAGCTCCGTTAAAATCTCTGACAATACCCCAGTTAGAATTGATGGCCTGTTGCATTGGGGCGAGACTGGTTCACTCAGTATACGCCGCCTTAGACTTGCCTGATTTGAAAATTATTGCATGGAGTGATTCTATGGTAGCACTCTGGTGGATTAAGAACTGTGGTGATTAGTCAGTTTTTGTTGCAAAAAGGGTAAAAGAAATAAACAGTTTGATTCCTTCTCAGTGTTGGTGCCATGTACCATGTTGTTTAAACCCGGCAGATATGCTTTCAAGAGGCTAATTCGTGGGTTGGGTTGGTGGGAGAGGTTAGTTCGTGTAGTAAAGGAACTGTTGAGAAGGACACTCGGTAACACGATTCTTATAACCAAAAGGAGTTGTACACAGTATTGTGCAACTGCGAGTCAATAAATAACTCTAGACCTCTTACCTATCTGTCTGAAAATTCGGATGATTTAATTCCACTTAGCCCAGCCATGTTTCTTATCGAGAATCGTAGCTTAGGTGTTCTCGATGTTGATTTCTGCGATTTGAAAAGTCTTTGAAAAAGGGCTAGACATCGTCAAAAACTGCTTAATGATTTAAGGCATAGATTTAGGAAAGAATATTTAGGCCTTCTGGTTCAAAATAAGAAGGATCCATCGTCAGAGCTACAGTTAGGTGAAATTGTCCTAATAGGAGATGACATCAAAAACCGTTGCATTGGCCTTTAGCTAAGGTCATTCGACTAATTTCTGGGAAAGATGGCAAAGTGAGAACTGTATAACTAAAGACTCAACAAGCTGGTACGCTGCTTCGTCCCATTCAACGAGTCTTTCCATTGGAAGTGCAGTTAACGGACACACCCACTGATCCCATAAACGATAACTCTTTTACTAATCCTATTTCTTCTATTTCTAGTGATGAGCATTCAGATTCTAATGATTCTTCAAATGACTCTAGTAACATCCTGCAAGGTGCTATAGTGTCAAGATTTAGACATGTGATCAAGGTGCCTCAGAAATTAGATCTCTTCGACCAGATACTGTATGTCTTTGAGCCAACCTGAAGTCGACTCAAAGAGGGGGAGAATGTTGGAGACGGCGGCTGTAGCCCTGAGAGTTGAAACAATGGCACTAACGTATAACTCCTTAGCAAGCTCTCGAGTGTTTGCATACTGATCTTCTTTCACAAGTTCTCACAGCCAAGCCTCATCAATATCAGTAGGCCGGCCAGGACACTCTGCTTCTGGATAGCACCACCTGTGCAGAATGCAGGATAGCACCAGCAAGATGTAGCTGCAAGTGTGAAAAATGGTACTATATGGGCTATATGGTGGATGTGGCAAAGGATCCCATTCGAGGCCATACAGAGTCCAGCCAGTGAATGTGGACACATGTGGTCTTGCATTATACTGATGGAGCATTACCTTTTTGTGCCAGAGCTGAGTTTGACTTTTTTCCTCGATAGCAGCATCAACACGGGTCAGCATCTCGCTGTACACCTTACTGTTAAGGGCTTTACTTTTCCTCAGATACACTTTGTGGATAATACTGTGGCAATCCCACCAGATAAAAAGCATGATCTTGTTGGCCAAATTGCACTTTATGACATTGCCGATGGGCTCACCAGGCATTAACCAACCCCCTTTTTGGCCTGTGTTGTTGAAGTAAATCCACTTTTCATCACATGTGATGATCTGGTCCAAAAATTTTTCCTCACATTGATATTCAAGCAGATTATTGCAGGATCGAACACGTCTGTTCTTATTTCCTTAACTCGGCCCATGTGGCACCCAACAATTGAACTTTTACGTCAAGTTTATGTGATGCATAGCGCAACTAATGGGCATGGCACTAACATCTAACTCCTTAGCAAGCTTTTGAGTGCTTGCATACTGATCTTCTTTGGATGTTCTGGCCGGCGGGCCTTGTGAACATCAGTAGGCTGGCCAGAATGCTCTGCTTCATGAATGTCATAGTCCTTATTTTTTAACTTTCGGTATCAAACCCTCACAGTGTCATATGACACAACATGAATACCTAAAGCTATAAACATGATTTGGTGACATTCTGTAGCTAACTTTTTGAAACAGAACTGGAAATAAATTATGGTTCTAATCTGGTAGCATGATAATTCCATTTCAGACACCTTGTGCTTACTTAATGATAATATGTTATTACCACTTTCACAACACATTGTTCTAAAGAAAGTCTCTTTCTTTCAAATGCCAAAGATGACTGAACATGCCAACACAAATTGTTTGTGCAGACGATATTTGCGGTGGTGGAAAACTTTTGTTAAAATCCATTAATTTATTTTCAGAATTCATTTTGCATTATGGCCCACCAGCGGCCGAGCGGTTAAGTCACTGAACACTGGTAGTTCCTTCCGAGGTTCGAATCCCGCGAACGGGCTGGCTGCATGGGTGTTTTCATGGTTTTCCCCATGTGTAACGTGTATACGAGCCAGTTTCCCCTAGAAAGTCCTCCTCGAAGGCATCCCTCCCCTTAGGCAGATAGCCCTAGTGTGCTTTGCCATTTTTAATTATACCACCATTTTGCATTATGTATCAAAACTATATTAATAACTTTCTTTATGCCCTGTTTCACAATTATATTCGGGGCTTCTGTGTTTAAAAACTTTGAAAGTAAGATTATATTTAAAACAAAATTATGTATTTATTCCATACTTTAAAAATCTTACAGGCTTACATATTGAAAGTATTCATGAAAAGAAAGATCCTGTAGAAGCTGTAAATCAATCAAAAGGAATATTTGTTGGTAAGTATTTTTATTCTTCATTAGATAGTTCATAGAGAGATCAAATTATGTTTGTGAAAGAGATACTCTTATAAGGTTAGGATTACTTAACAGATATGGAAGTATTGGATGTAAATAATTATTGATTAAGCAGTGGTAAATAAATCATGCCAAATCCAAAAACTATAATAAAAGTAATGTGTAAATGATATTAATTTTAACATAATACCTAGAAGCATTTCAGAGATAGAAGTCAGATGAGAGTCTTCTTCTGTAGCATATAATTATTTTCTTTTATTTGTTTTTATTAGTTTCATATGTGAAAAGAAAAAGGATTTATGTTAAGTTTTGCCAAAAATTCTGTTTAATAATTATTTTAATTACAAAATTAAATTAAAGTTTTTATTTTCTATTACATTTCTGCCAGTTGTTTAGTGGTAGTCTGTTTATATTGCACATAGCTGTGCAGTGATTTTGTTTTAGGTAAGAAGGAATATCGATCCAGGAACTTTAGATTTTCAGTTGTACAAGTGGATGAATTGGCAGCTGCTAGATATGAACACTTGCAACTTTATTGATCTTAATATGGGATGCCATGTGAGAAATGACAAAATAAGTATCAACATGGCCGAGTGGCCACTTCCTCAGTGACCACTGGGTTTCTACCTCAGTGAATTCATTATAATAGCAGTCGCATAAAAAGACATAAATTCTTTTGATGTTAAATGAAATCACTACTTCCGTTCCTCCTCTATAATAGGAAATTAATCTGGTAATATATGTTTTATATATATGTAATGACAATAATAGTAATTGTAATTATTTTGAGGGTTAGAGAGGAAGTGACTGAATAAATTTTTCCTTTGAGATTTGTAGCATGGAAACAAGATTTCTTTTCCTTAACGCACTTTATAATTCCATAGCTAAACTGTCCACTTACAGATAGGACATTAGGCTTAATGACGCAAAAACATAGTTCTTTTAATGTGTAATTATCCTTATATTGTTTAAGAATCAATGTCATAAATTACATGTATTTTAAACTAGGGAAATTTTATTAGATTGTGATTTTAATAGAGCCTTTTTTTTAACAAATATTGTTAAAAAAATAAATAAAATTTAATAGTGGCCGTGTAAATCATAGTGATTAAGGTTATTTAACTACCTAATTTAATTATTTATAACTAGCTGCTTAAAAATTATCTTTGCATATTAAAGCAAGTTATTGCTTTTCATTAATCCTTACTGTGGTCACAAGGTACAACAAAAAAATGTAAAACTTATTGTTTACAGCTGGTAAGACTTGCAATATACAAAACAACTTGTCACCTCTGGTGCTTTAGTGGCTTATTGAAACCTTGAAATATATTAACTGGGCTACAACTCCAAGAACTTGATACAAAGCTATAACACTAACTGCATCAGATAGACATAGCTTAACTAACTTTCAAAACTTGACAACCATGCCACATCAGATGCTCAGATCTGTTCCAATCAGCAGGAGCAGTGGCAACAGCCATTCTTCTGTTACGCATCATGCTGATTATGACTGAGTTCTCATTTAAACCTATGCCATTTGACATAAAAATCTTTCTGCTATTTATTAAACCTCTAAACTGAACAAGTACATGACAAAATGAGACATTAAAGGGGAAAAAAAATCAGCATAAAGCTTTTAGTAAAACGTAAATAAAATGTCACTAATCTTCTTCAAAATATGTCCAGCTATTATAAGTTTAAAATATTCAGTGCTGTTTCATAAATTTTGCAAAGTCGATATTATTGTTAAATTTGTTTTATGTTTAATAATAATGCATCCTACTATTAACCTGTTTTATTCTTAGTATGATATTACAAAATTGGCATAGATAATATTGTTCACAATATCACACAAGATAATCAGTAGTTATACTGTACAAAGTCTGAAATCCGGACTCATTGGGACTTCAGCTATTCCAGATTTGGGATTTTTCCGGATAATAGATCATCAATTTAAATCTGGTAAGATGACATGCAGAAATTATACAATAAAAAATATGAAATCGTAATTTATGAAATGAAGAACAATTATGATCCAAAGGGTATCAAAATTTACAAAAAAAAGCTGAATATTTATTTGGTTACTTTATTAAACATTTCTTTCAATGCAAGTTGTTTAAGTTGCTTCGTTTTTTGTGCTAATACTGTCTCTTTAATTCTATAAACAGACATAAATTCTTGTTCAGTTCCACTGTTCAAGTCCTGTAATTGCTGTGTCGAGAATACTGACTAACTAGTCAATCAAAATTTTTTCATTTTCAATAACCTCTCTGTCACTTTCTTCACTATCGGAAGCAGTACGGTACATCGAAACATGCTTTTGCTTTGTAGATCCTTTAGCAGCTCCAGAAATCCAGAATCGGAAACTCTTTTTGACATAATCGAAAGTTCAAGCTTACTTTTTATAAAATTGCTCTAACAGTCTGCAAAAATAATAAGCTGGATCCTATTAGAAGATTAAGGAACAACGCAATCTGCAACATTAACTGAAGTAGATAATTAGATCATTTTAGCCTAGCTTATACCGTCCGTTATACATTAAATGCACATGCGTAAATGTATTATGTGCATGTATCAACGCATTACGCATGCACAGAAAGTTTGTAGCTTTGAGGTCCTGATTATGGACGTCCAGGTTAAAGACTTTGTACTGTACTGTATTTTGCTTTAAGTATGCAAAAGCAGGCTTTGTCTGTTTATATTTTACAAGAAATATTTTCTCATTTCTGATTAATGCAGATTGATGTTTTTGTAAGAATGTATCTATAAATGTCTGTAGTTTTTGTCTCTGTTTGTTGTTCTGTTTTTCTTCCGATTCTTGGACAGTTCTGTTTGGATGTATTGTAGCTTTTAATTTCACTATAGTGGTATTATGTTTTAAAAAAGCATTTGGCAAATTTTACAGACACATGCTAGTTATTAAGTATGATATGATACCCTTGATGCAACTACTACTATAGATAAAGATCAAGACATTACAAGATTAAACAGTTTTTTGCATTTGGATATTTTGCATGTTACTGTCAATCTTTCTATATTTATATACAAATGCCAAATATTGCCTCTTTTATCAGATGTACTTGAGCAAAGACAATGTAATTTTATTCTGCATTTAGATCATTTAGACTTGATGCAGACAAACGTCTTACTTTTCTGCAGAGTAGATTGTTGTTAAAATTCAGTTTCATCAAATATAAAATTTCTTGCATAATCCAAATACTCGCACATCTCTCTGAGCATTGGCGCAAATGGCTAATAAGATAACTTTTGGCAACAAATTCAAGCAAGAAAAATTGTAAAAATTCCGAACTGGAAATGCATAGATTTCTACTGACTATTTCCTTACAGGATGCTCTTGTTTTATAGATTTCTTAAATCAATCCACAAACATTTCCTTTCTATCCAGGATCTTAAAAGTAAAAACAGCATGTCTATTTATATGTTCATATAAATAAATAGATATGCTGTTTTTATATGTTCATATAAATAAGAGCCACTTTAGGATCAAGGAAGATATTAAAACATTGTGGTTCATTGTATACCATCGGAATGGTAACATCATCAGGCTACATGCCATTTGATAAATAAGGCTATCATGAATATAAAGTGTTTCATACCTATCCCCATGTTTAATTTTCATTTCTTTATTATTAACAGTAAGGTATTTTGATAAAATATAGTCTATGTTCTTCATGAGTAAGTAAAAATATTCCTGGGATTGTGGCACTGTCATCAGGTTTTGTAGCATATAGAGAATAAGGGGCTTTTATTACAAGAATAGTTGATATGATTATATTTTTTTATAAAAAGTTATTATCATTTAAGGTAGTTTATCTAATGACAAATTAATTTGAGTTCTTGTGTGTTTGTTTTGCTATAAATTAGGTGTTTTTTAGGTGGTGGAAATACATTTTTACTTCTGAAAACTCTATATGAGAAACAATTAATTCGACCTATACGTCAGAGTGTATTAACTGTAAGTATAATATTTTGAAGCATCATTCTTCTTGTGACTTTTTCATTTTTTTATACTTGAAGAATTAATATTTTCTGTTTCCCAAAAATAATTATTATCATTCAGTGGCATTTACATCACTTTGTAATAATCAAAATCAGCATTTTTTAATATTTGAAGTGTTAAATTTATTGCTGTATTTTTTTAAGTTTTTATTTTGAACATTTGGAATAGGTAAGGCTCAGAAAGATAGTGATTTTGCAGTTTGAGAAATTTCACAGGCATTATATTTATCTGTCTGTAAATTTTAATGCTTATTTTTCCTTGAAATAAAAATAAAATTCTGTTCTCAATTAATATCGATTTTTGTAAGAATTTGTGTTAGTTTATAATTACTGAATAAATTTATTGATTAATGAAAAGTTTTATATTTACTTATACATTTATTTTTAATTTCTATATATTTATTGAAATGTTACAATGTATAGAATTTTGCAGTTTTTGATTGTTTCTTTTTACTTCCTAATAACATCTAATATTATATTCATTTTAATTTAAAGATTGTTTTTGACATTTTCTATCTTTATTTTATAGAGAGGAGTGCCATATATGGGCTCTAGTGCAGGAACAAATGTTGCTACTAGAAGTATAAATACAACAAATGATATGCCAATCTGTTATCCTCCTTCCTTTGAAGCTCTGAAATTGGTGCCTTTTAATATCAACCCTCATTATATTGATGCTGATTTAAACAGCAAACACATGGGTGTAAGTGGGAATGCTATTATATATGTCAGTTTATTAATAATTCTTTCTGTGTGTGGTTTAAGTACAAATTAATGTATTTCACTAAAATTTCGGATTGGTACAGTAATCTGGTTTGCTATAACTTCGGGCTGTACTGAAACAGGATCTAGTCTTTGTGCTGTAATATTTTCTGTTTATGCTTGAGAGTTTGTAATCCTGAATTTTAATTTTGAAAATTAAGCTAAGGTTTATGTTCGTTCACTTTTTAGATAAAATATTGGGTGTATAAGTATGACTGTCCTTTTTCAAAATACTAAATAATATTTTAATAACAACTTAATTATTGTAATAACTGCAAATTCAAACATTTATGTGTTTTCAAAATGACAGAAGTATTTGTTCCATCAGAGTATTTTTTATCAGAAGCTACATCATTTCCATTTGTCAGGCAACAAACAAATTGCATTGAAAAAGTCTGGTTGTTTTGAAATAATCTAGTCATCAATCTGATTTTTGCTATCCTCATAAAATCTGAATTGATTTACAGAAAGGTTGCTCTTTATGGATACCAAGGAAATAGTAATCTGAAGGAATAACATCTGATGAATTCAGTAGGTAAGGCAACTTATCCCAGTGAAGTGCCTCTACAATTTCCTTGACTAGTCTTGCAAAATGTGGATGAACAATGTCACATGGAAAAATAGTCTTGTTGCATCTTTTGTCATATTCTGGACATTTTTCAGTGCTTCATTTGAATTGATAAACTGTTGTAAGTCATACTTAGTGTTGGTTGTCTGATATGGCTGCATAGCTTATAGTAGACTATACCATTTTAGTCCCATAAGATACACAATACAATCCATGAATTTTTGCTTGGTTCATTCATGGAACTGTTTCACCTGGTTGTAACCATGCCTTTGTTCGCTTAATTGGGAATGCATTCTTCATTTCCATTAATAATTCAGTGCAAAAAAACAAAAAACAAAACTTTTATTTTTGAAGCTGCTGTTTTTGATAAGCAGTATCCCCTCTCTGCTTTTGAATCATTTCAATACACGTTAATGTTCAGAAATGCATGGTTGGGTAGCATTCAATAAAACAGCCACTTCTGATTATACCTGGGCTGGAACCTCACCCAGTAATGCTTCCATTTCTTATTGTTTAATTTTATTTTTGGATGGGGTTATTTTGCATGTTCTTTGTCATGTGTATCAAAATCATTATTTTTAAAGCTGTCAAAACTGCTCTTTCCAAATTGTCTTCAATAGAGCTGTGCACAATGATGTTCATTGTAAACTTCTAAAAGCATACAGTATGTTTCTGCTGCAGGTTTTTTGCAATAAAGTAATGAAGCAGAAGTCATAAAACTTGATATTTTAAAACGGAAAAAATAATTATTGTTTGCACTTGAAACTATTAAACAATTGTTGTATAGTAATTATTAGAAATTGGTTTTCAAAACTTTAAAATGCAAGTGCTTCCGGATTCAGAGTTGAGCAAGTAGCACTGCCAATGACATTTATTGCAAAGAGGCAAACTCAGTATTTGTACACCCAAAATTACAACATCCTGAATTTTTCCATGTCTTAATGTCTTTCTGGGGGTAATGGATTTTACTTATTTATATTAATATAACTATGTAACACTGTTAGTGCTTAATCCTTAAAACCTTAACTATTTGCAGATTGCTTATTTGTTGATTTTTATTAAATAATTAAGATTTACCAGCATTTTCATATTTATTTTGTTGCCTTTTCTGAAGTAAAGTTTGTCATTTTTAGCAGCTTCACAATTTATGTTTTTTCATGTATTATCAAGAGGTACTAAAAAAATTATGCATTTAATGCATGTAGCAGTGTAAGTTAAAAATATTTATATGTAATGTAATACTTTTTTTAATACTTGCTTGCAAGCATAGCCAGTAGAATATTTCTGGGCAAAACATTGGTTTTTGTTAAAAGTGAAATAAAATAATCTAGGTTCACATGCTGAAACCATGATCACCCCCATTCTGTTTTCAAAAGATTTGGTTATAAACTTGCCATAAACCCTGCCCTACCCATTGGGAATTTTAAAAAACAGATAAATCGGATGCCAGTAGATACTTCAGATGTTAAACTATGCCAATCCTCAATGAAGATACAAGAACTGAAATTCAATACATCAGTATAACATTTGAAAATTATCAGTAAAATTGCTGAGCCTAAAAAAGATATTTAGTAATTCTTTGACAAGAATTGCATCAATGAAAATAGCACATGTTTGGTTAGATACTTCTTGGAGAAAAAGCTCTTCCTTTTACTTGTGTTTAAACATTGTTTTAGCATATTAATCTAGATAATTTTGTAACTTCATTCTAATTGTGTTTGCCATTTAATTTTTCAGTTGATTTTTTTTATAGATGAACATTTTTGGTTCATCATTGATAAACTGGCACAGTGAGTGTTCCTGTTCTTGAAGAACTTTTACTTACATTTTTAAGAACTTGAAATAAGAAAAGCAGTGACGGCAATCTGTATATCAAGAGAAGCAGAGAACAAATGTGATGTAATAAAAGATAAAAGCTAGATTCAGAATAATTTCGTTTTGGTTTAGCTTTATTTTGATTGGTTAATATTAAGTTTCTAAAATTATGATTGGCTAAAATACTTTGTCATAAGCATTAGACAGGAATCATATATGTGGATTCATTTGAAAAAGTTTTAATGAAATGTTATTGTAGCACATTGCATTGTCATAAAGTATGTGCATACAATGTATGAGCTTGAGAGCTTACTTGGAGATAATTTAAAAGTCATTGGAAACCATAGCAATAAGCATTATGAGTGAGTTAAGGTATAAGTTATTTTCTTCTTCCTTACCGCTTGCCTTTGTGATGTAATTGGATGTGTAGCTAGCAATCAGGAACTCTGGTGTTCGAATCCTAACTAGGGCAAAGCACATTTTTCAGGTTGCCTGCTTCCAAAAAAGAAAGAAAAATCTAATGACTCTACTTTCTTTCTTTCTTTTTTTTAGGAAGTAAGATTTGTTTTGAGATTTGAGTTATTGAAGTTGGTATTTATTTTTTGCATTTGCTTTGCTAAACACTGTAAAATAATGATGTAATGTATAAATATTTCAATTTTTACTTTTGAAATTGAGAAGAAAATATGTTATAATCCAAATAGGTCTAATTTCAGGAATTTCTATTGCAGGAGACGAGGGAAGAAAGGATTAAGGAATTTTTGGGAGAACCAGAGTGTGCTCCTGTTTTGGTTAGTCTGTGTATTTAAATGTAAAATATTTTTATGCCTTGAATTTGAATGTGGTTGTGTAATTGTAGCTTCATTGTAGGGTCTTAGAGAAGGAAGTTGCTTATTAGTAGAAAGTGAAAAAGCCACATTGCTAGGAATAAATTCAGCTATACTGTTTGAAAAGTAAGACAAATTCAGAATCATGTTAGTTTCATAACTATTATTAGATATCACAGAGTAATGAGTTTAATATTGCTATGGTATAGATTTTAGACTAAACTAAATAGTTTATTTAGTACTATTTAGTCAAAAAACACTTTTTCTGATAATATGCATATTAATAAAAGTATTTTTTTAAATATT